CAGTCTCTAGTGCATGTGCAGTCCCCAGATCTCCAACAGCCTCCACTGCCCAAGGGATGAGACCCAAACCCACAAGCTGCTCCACAGGGCCTAGTGCACGCAGTCTCTGCCCCACCAGCCTTCCCCCAAAGCTTTGCTCAGCTCGGGCCCTTTGCCTATGACAGGGCCCCTCCACTGCCAGCCAGGGAGCCCTGACAGTGCCCCCACAGGACCTTTCTCAGCCACTCCAGCTGGGGAGTCCTTGCTGCCTCACAACCAGGCCCATATAAGATGTTTCCTCGTGTTTCTATTTGCTTATTGTCCATCTTCCAAGTCCAGGAAGGCCATGGGCATGGCACCAAGCACAATTCACCTGAGAGAAGGGAGGGAGGGAGGGAGATTTTTATGTTTTTACACTTAACAATTTGTTGACAACCTATTGGATAAAGATGAAGTTAGGGCAGATCTAACAAGAGAAACCCAGAAATTCTTGGTGAGCTTTCCTGTGATGAGATGTGTCTCTGCGCATGGCTCACATGGGTGTCTGTGTGTGCGCACGAGTGTGTGCACACGTGTAGCTGTTAACCAGCAAGGGCAACAGCTTCACTAGATCCCAAGGCTGTGTTGAGTCACTACCTGCCATGGGTAATTAAAATGGGGGCAGGTCTGTGGCTGTGAGCACAGAGATAGAATCAGGCCAGATGAGGTGAATGATTGCCTCTCCAGGTGGTTGAAGGGGAGGAAGCTGGACACGTTCCGAGTAACTCCAGGTTTCACTTGTAAAGTGCCTAGGGCCATGTCAGTCCGGTGCCCACAACTGGTCTGGACGTGTGTCTGTGCCACAAAATACGAAAGAGGAGTGCCTGTGAAAAATCACATACTGTCGGTGGCACCCAGAGGCCTGGCTACCTGCTCTGTACATGGTGGCCAGGCTGAGTGCTCACAGGGTCAGCTGTCTTGAAGAGGGGAGTGCCCTCTTCAAGATACTTTAAAAGGAAGCCTGGCTAAGGCGCCCCACTCTTAGGGACCCCAGAGAGGTCCGGTTCAGCCCAGCAGCAGAGAAACGCATGGCTGACAGGTACTAGAGCCACAGCCAAGGATCCTGCCACTGAGCACAGGGCATGTGCCGGGGCCTGTGTTAATGACCAAGTGTGCAGGGCAGGCCCAGGGTGGAGCACAAGTCTGTCTTGACTCCAAAGCCCCATGCTTACCAGGCTCAGGCCACTCCACAGGCCTGAGGATGGACACCCTGCTGTGGCCTCAGGGCCAGCGGGCTCTCCCAGACCAGGCACAAGGTCAGTTTCAACTAATGCTTTACTTTCCATCACTGCAGCATCTCAATGAATTCTGTTCACAACCAGCAGAAGGGCTTCTCAGGGAATCCTCAGTGCATAAAAGTGCCTACATTTGGCTTTAACACAAGAAAAATAAGCTCTGGACTTAAAGCCACGCAGGAGTGAGCCAAAGGAAGAGGCACTGAAGAAACACCCCTCTGCAGCTGCAGCCCTGCTCAGGCAGACTGGTGACAGAGCTACCGACCAGCTCTAAGCCTCTTCAATGTCACCAGAGGTAACAAGGCAGTAAGGCCATGAAAGGCCTGAAAGCAAAGGGATGTGCCCAGGTTCAAAACCACTTTGCTCCGGGGGCATCTCCCACCTGCAGGAGGTGGCCACACTGCCGTCTCCCAACTTGAAGCACAGGAGCCAGGTCTTCCCATTATGGTAGCAGAAAGTGCCTCTGCTCTAGGCCAGGGCCTAGAAGGGGTACACCCTAGGAACAGGGGTGAAAGGAGCACGTGAGCTCTTGTGAGGCCCCCAGCCTGGCTCGAACTCACACATTGGCCCAGAAACATCAACTCAGAAGTGACATTAAGGTCATCTCCAGATGCTAGCCTGTAGGAACAGAGCAGAAACTATTTTTAAAATTCAGTCTGGAAGAAAATAACATTATCCCAGGCCTCAAATTACTTTTCTTTTTTTTTTTTTTT